CTTTGTTTTTTAGGGCAAAGACAATATCAGATGTTGAGAAATTGTTGGGTTATTTGAAAACAGTGTTTCTTAGAATCCCAGGTTACATTGCTCCCCTTGTTATCCCAGGTCTCCTCAATTCCTTCCCATCTTTGAATTATCATTTAGTATTTGTTTTTACCTTTGTTTTTACAGTGGTAAATTATTGACATTATCAAAGGAAATTGCTTTATTAATTGCAGCCAAATGAAGAAAATTGTGAAGTCATATTCCAAACTATATGAAACTATTTTGTAATATGTTTTTTTTATTGTAATGTTTATCTACAAAGGAGTAAAGACATAAAGACTATGCCATGTTCTTAGATAAACATTAATTTTCACATCATTTTTGTATTTGACAAGAAAAAAATTGCAGAAAAAAATTAACATTTCAAGTGAAAACGTCTATAGATCATTAAGAAAATCTTGAAATATAGCTGATGTTTAAGAAGGAATTTTTTTAAATTAATTCATATGTAAAATTATAGAAAAATTTATTTAGAGCTTTTCATGATACTTTGAATTCTCATTAATTTTAATGTGCGAACGGTGAGGAAAAAATGTATATTTATTATTAGTATAAATGGGTTTACATTCTTTACTTTTAGGTTTACTTAATTCAACATGGATCTATAATTTTGTGTAAAAAAAAAATATAACTGATTAGTACAGAATAAATAAATATTTAAAATATAACTGATTGGTACAGAATAAGTAAATATTTAAAATATAACTGATTAGTACAGCCAGTTACATTTTTAAATAGGATTAACAAAGATAGAGCTGTTAATCTGTTTGTATTCACAAGAATAAACTTCTGCATGCCATATGTATTTTTTTTTTATTAGTATCTTAATATTTTGTTGTTTTTCTTGTCAAATTTTCAACTAAAATTTATTCTCCTTCAACCAGTAAATTATTAGAAATATTCTGAAACTGTTGAAACTTTTTAACAATATTAGAAATGAACAATGAAAGGTATTGTAGGTTTTGCCTTTACATTAAGAAGTTCATCATTTCCTTTAAAACGAATGTAAATAATTTTCATATATTCGATTCATGTGGTATCCTGTGCTTCAAGACTGGCAAGCCAACCATTGCAGTTCTCTGGAACTTTCTCATATAATTAAGCTGGTTGAAATTCTGACATGAAATATATTTTTCTCTTCCATTTTGAAATTAATCACTCACCATGGAGCATAGGGTCACAATACCATGCAAATATTTAAGAAACAAAATAGGTTTTCCTGGATGGAGTTGATAACAACACATCTAAGTTGGTTTGAATTCAGTTGTCTTACTCCTAGAGTGGTTGCTCACCCTAGGGTAGAGAGATCAATCTGCCCTTCTGTTTTTATCCATAGCTGGGAGACAGAGAAGAGATAAGCAATCATTCCTTTCCCATGGGCATCAGTGCAAAGTGAACACATATTGCCTCGACTGGAATTTGAACCCAGTTTGCTGATTCCATTTTCCATGTCGTTAACCATTAAATCACTCACAATCCCAATTTTATGATTAAACATCAATCATAGGTCTGACTTCTTTTTTTTTTTCTTTTTCTTTTTTTGTTCATCTTTTTTATACTTTTTATCACATTTTTAACCTATCTGCTCTTCCACCATTCAACTGCAGGAAAGTGAAACAAAGAAGTACTTTTGGATGTAATTAAAACTCACATCCCCATACTGCAGGAGCTTATGTCATGTTGCAGTGCCTATAGCACTTTAGTCATAAAAGTCATGATAAAAGTAGAAAGAAAAGGGTACCCACAGAAAACTGAAATGATGAAAATGTTTAATCTGAACCAACTTAGAATATTTGTATCATAAATCTGTACTTGTAGTGAAGGTTATTGGTAAATGTATTTTATTCATTATTAAAGAATGACTATATAAACTCATTTAGTTCCTGCTTTATTCTAAGCAAATATTATTATTTTACTGCAATTTCTTTCCTGTTTCTCTCTCTCTCTCTCCCTTTTCTTTTTTTTTTCCTTCCTCAAATTATAAAACCTTACAAAAATGTTTCAAAATACAAATCTTGAGTGCTTTTTAGAATATGAACAACCAATTTTTTTTCTTGCTTACCATTCACCTTTTCTTTGATTATTTCTGATGGATTCAGGAGTTTTAACATTATTTTAAAAGATTATTATCAAAGTTTATCTTAATCGGTGGCTATAACTTGTAAGACTAACCTGATAGCCATTACACTATAACAGATACTCCTTTTGATATTTACTTAATATGTCATTGCTAGCATAATGAACCACTCAGTGTGAATCGGACTCAGTGGTTATGGCTCCTTTATCTTTGATTTCTCATTGATCTCTCTCTCTCTCTCTCTCTCTCTACCCCCACCACCTCTGGATATGAACAAAAACAAATAATGTTGCATAGCCCCATGTTTGGGGTGGTCTTGGGTGACGGCATCAATTCACTCACATGTTGTATTTCCTCTCTCTCATCTTCTCTCAGCCGATGATTGCTAGTTGTTTTGTTTCAGACATAAAAGGACATCAACAAAGAGAATTTGAACTTAGCTATTTTATTAAACACGTTGATGTGTACATTTCTAAATATCCAGTGGGGTCGCTCTCTCACCCCACTGGGGAGCAGATCCAGAGATGAAAGAACACATCTACATTGTTCAACGTGTAAGACCCAACTCCCCAAAGAACCTTTCTCTATCATTCCCATACTAGTTCAGCCAATCAAAATTGACTTCCTTTGTTTTGTCCTGTATCTGACCACAAAGGTCAAACTGAGAAAGTCAGAGTAGAAATACACTTCTCTAAAAAAATAATAGTCTGCTAAACTATTATTTAACAATAATTGTTTTTTATTTGAGGTTAGAAATTAATTTGTCCTTATTGTTTTTCTATAAGATTCATTTCTTTACATTTTGTTATTCCTTTTTCAATTTCTCTTCCTATACTAGATATGTTTGTTCAAATAATAATGAGAAAAGAAACATAAACAATATAGATACTAATAAAGAATTCAAAATTATCATTTTATTGAATTGGCTACATCATTAATAGGGAAAATGTATTTGATAAGCAGTAGCAAGGGCATTGATATTTGGTTGAAAATTTTAGTCTTAAGTCACCGTGATATTGAGCCCTTTGCCCTAGAAAAAGATTTGATAACTTTCCAGAACATAACAAACATCCAAAGAAGGCGAGAGGATGAAAGGAAAAAAAAACCCAAAGAAATTGGTCAAAACAATGATTAATATAATTTATCTAATAAAATTAATTAAAAACTTACAAACATGTTTCTCAGACTCACTTTCAACTTTTGGAGTTTTTCATGCATTTCAAATCACCTGTATATTTCATAGTAATATGTTATTAATCATAATTATTACAGTAGTGTAACTTGCAATCTGAACCCTCTTCCACTATCGGTTTTTTAAACATCTAAATAAATTTTCTAATTTAAAAAGGCAAATCATCTTACATAACTAATCATAAATCAATTTTAAAAAGAAAAAATTCCAGACATTGATCATAGAACTGTGCACTCTATAAATTTTCCATTTAGAACTCACCCTGCACAAAATCATGTCCCACTCCCATGTAATCATGAGGTGGTGCTGAAAAGTAATCAGCACCACCTACAAGCCTTTATTCCCCTACCACCACCAAATCTGATTCTCATTTGGTCAGATTTAAAGAAATGAGTCAGGCCAAGAGCTTTTCAGCACTCCCTCATTTTTATTATGTAGTAAATTGCACAATGGTAGTGATAGAGTTTTGTATGTTATTTAAGACCAACTGTTTGTAACTGATAACGTTTCTAAATCTAATTATATTTTGTTATCATTTGTCAATGATTGGCATTTGATCTTAATACTGTAACTGGAATAAATCTTGTAGAAAAGTTCTCAGCCCAAATGCCAAAAAGCATTCTTTAACCAAACAGCAGAATACTGATTTTGGGAAGTGGCTCAGGCTGAGAACTTTTAACCCCCCCCACACACACACACACACACACACGAGAGAGAGATAGTGAAAATATGTCTGTCAAATATTATATTTGAATTGTTAAAAAATGTTTCCAATGTATCCTACAAATATAACATGATCACCTCCCAAAAGTTAACATTACTAAATTCAAGAGTTTAGTTTAAAAAAGAATAAATTAAATAATTTGAATACATCTTGCATTTCTTAATTAAATTTAAAAATAAGATAAAACTAAATATAGGTGAGAGAGAATAAGAATGTTGATGGTGGTAACTAGTTTTCTGACTCTCCCCCCCCCCAAAAAAAATAAATCAATTTGAGCAATGGACAGAAGCAATTCATGATTAAAGAATTATAATTTTGAATGATTTTTAAGAAAGTTTAAACCAGTAAAACATTAATTTTTTGTAAGTTTTTCATAATCTAATCATTTCAATCTTGTACTTTGAGTGCTGGAAAATCAGTTGAATCTGTGGAATAAGGAATTATTTTTGTGGAAACACTCAGCTTTCTTATCATTTTCTACATTCTGTAAGATTTTAAAATGAAAAGATTTTGTGAAAAAGTTTTTCAACTACAATTAATTTTAGTACCAATTGATTGAGAATTTAATAAGCATTCTAATCATGTATCAGAAGCTCTCTCTCTCTCTCTCTCTCTCTCGAAACAAGCTTCAAATTAAAATAAGCTTTCAAATGATATATTAGAAGCTGTATATCATAACCAGGTTCAATTTCAAATAATCTTTCTAATGATGCAGTAGAAACTTTATATCATGATCAGGTTCAAATTCCAATAACCTTTTTTGGTAAAGTAATCTGTTGTAAAAGAATGACTGTTGAATGAAACTTGATATTCTTTTGTTTAAAATTTTCAGGTATTTTTAAAGTGCATACCAGGAACCAAAACTTTTGAAAAGCTCCGCTTGAATATTTTCAATGCTCTAGACTTGCTGATTGTCATTACCTAAAAATCTTCATGCTGTTTTTTTTTCTCATTTACAGATTGTCACAAGTGATGAAGCCTATCGCAGGAAGTCACTTGAGATAGAAGATACTCCGTATCTTCCAGAATTGGTCGGAGAAACCCATATTTTAACCGAAGAACAGATAACCACGGTAGGTTGAATTCTTGTATTTACTTTTTTTTTTCTTTTTTTTTTCTTTTTTTTTTCAAAATTTCATTATTATGAAAAAGAAAAACAACATTGAATTGAGAAGACAACTGAAACTTTTATGTATTTAGCTATATGATTTGTCTAATGACAACTTCTTGAACACCCAAATCTTGAAAAAAGAATCCATTAATCCCATATTCCCACGATGCCAAATGCAAAATTAAGTCTTTTTAGAAGCTACTTCTTTATTCTAACCTCAAACTGCAAACAGACAAAGTATTTGATCTCGAATACTGTAATTAAAGAAGCATTAAGATGAAGACCAGACAAAAGAGGAAACAGATTTAGAAGAAACTGGAGTTCAAAGTAATTTACTTAAGTACTATCCTACCTGCCTTTTCTATCTACCATCATTGTATACCAGTGCTAAGATAATTTATCTAAATACTTGTCAGTAGGACAACACAAGCATAATTCCACATTCCCCCTTTGCAAGGTCATTAGTGGAAAGTGGATTTGGTGATAAATATTTTCATGATTTTTTTTAGTCTTGTTTTCCTCTTCTTTTTGCTACTTTTTACAACAAAAGAGCAAACGTAATGGCCTGTTAAAATCAGTAACATAAAATTAAAATACAGAAGTTGTATTCAACAAGCCTCTGACCCTTGTCTCGTCAGAGGGTGAATTAGCTATGGCTTCATCCCTGAAAAACAGGATAGCAGAGGCAAGTTTAGGTATTATTAAAAATTACATCCAAATTCATACTGCTGACTTAAATGGTTAATTGAGTATTTTAACTTGGAATGTTGTAATAAAAGTAACAGTAAAAAGAAAAAATGACTAAAAAAATAATGCATAGTTTGGTAGAAATTTAACAATATTATTTTATTACTTTTTTATTGTTGTTTTTCATTACAACACTTTGAAAGATCATTAAATTAGAAATGAGGAAGTAGCTTGAAACTTGGACTTTAATTCCATTAATTTCATCTTTTTATATGAATCTCAGTAATCCTTTAACTAGCAGAAGTCTGATGAGTAAGCATTGTCAAAGTTGGTTGACAATTCACTGCTCTCACCTTTCCACTTTTTTGAAGAAAAAAATAACATAAAACTGAAAATTACTTGAACAAAACCCAAATGAGACATTGCAAGGTTAATTTTGACAATCTCTCAAATCAACCACATTCATACATGTTCCAGAGGTTTGAGTGCCTAATTTAGCAAAAGGGAACAATCATTTTTTTCTCTCTAAGAATAAAACTGAATTCATAATTACATAAAACTGAATTTATAATTCACTTTTTTTATGATAATAAAAACAAGTTGTTTAAATGATTATCTTAATGAGATAATGAAAAGTTTCCTGACATGTTGAAATAATCAAAGTATTTTTGTTCAATTTTTTTTTTTCATTTCTTGTCAATGTTTTTTTTTTTTTTTTTCTTACTTTTGCTAAGAATCTTTTTTTCTCTATGACTGCAGTTAGTGGAGCATCTTCCTGGCCGTACTGTTGGATACTCATGGGTGCTTATCTACAGTACAGATTTGCATGGATTCAGTCTGAAAACGCTATATCGCGATATGGCCAACTATGACAGTCCCGTGTTATTAGTTGTTCGTAGCACTCGTAGTCAGGTAGGTCATGTATCTAGATGTTTTTCTTTATCAAAGTCACAAAAAGACTTCAAGATTGATTTCCAAACTTCTGATTAATTTCATTATTTTGTCTTTTTCAGACTATTGTCTTTTTCTTTGTGGTTTTTGATTCTTTTACATGTGGAGCTGTGTAGTTGCAAGCCAGTCAATACCCATGTTAATTAACATTTATCACTGAAAACAGGTTCAACATAAAATCTGAACCTTATATCAATTAAAGAAGGTTGCCTGATCCAATGAGTTTTGCTTTCTTCTGAATAAGGTGGACAGTTAGATACATGTCTGCTATCACCCTAAGAGAGAGATGTGTTATGGAAAAACAATAACCTTGTGGGGACAGTGTGATAGTTTTGGTAATATTCTGCTGGTAAAAGGTATAAATGTGGATAGTATTTTGTTATATACCAGTTCAATGTCAGTGAAGAATAGGTTAACTTCTTCATATTAACAGTCTCCTACAATGACAGTAACATTCTGTCACACCGAAGAAGTTGTACAAGATTGGTTTTAGGAGCATGACAATTTCTTTGTATTGTCATGGTCACCAAACTCTTCTGATCTCAGTGCCATTGAACGCTCACAGGCAGGATTCAGTTTTCAGTTCCTTCTAAAGTTTTCTCATTCTCTTTCACTTCCTGTAGTCTGACTTACGGCCACATCATGTTGAAACACTGGTTTGCCATATGATCACTGAAGTTAAGCAATGTTGAGCCTGGTCAGTACCTAGATGGGCGACTGCTTACCAGATGGTGTAATGGATAATGGTTCAGAATTGTTAATCAGATAGCTGAGTTCAATTCCCATTGGGTTCATTATAGTCCCTTACATGCAAATACCCTTGGGAAAGGTATGAATCTACCCCCCCCCCAAACTATGAGTGAATTTATTAAAACATGTATCACTAAACATTTATCTGCAAAAGGGAAAAAAATCTTACAATCTGAAAATATTTCCTAGCTTTAAATAGCCTGCAAAGAGTTAACAAGCCATAAAAAACAAATCAATCAATCTCAGTATCCCCTTGTGGCTTAGTGGCATTATCACCTTGCTTGGGGTGAATTGATAAAAAAATATATATTGAACCAACATGTTTGCTCTAAAGAGTCCTCTTTATAAGCTGCAGCAGTTAAAGGATCTGCTGTTAAAATTCTAATGCAAAATCCTTGAAGAAACCTGTGGAGGTCTTGTTGAATTCCTCTCTGATAGGGTAAGAGTTGTTTTACAGGTATATGAAAGACCAACACCTTATTAGACAGGTGGTCATAATGGTTTGGTTCATCAGCATGAATACCAAAGATGATGATTTGTTTCAATAAGAATCTTGCAACAAATACATAGGTAAATATATCCGATATCTAACAATAGCCATAAAAATTCCATTAGGTCCTCCAAACCCTAAACTAGTTATTCAATTAGGAATAGGAAAATAATTACAATTTTTTTTCTACATAAATACCCTCTACATCTAGCTATTACTATAGATTACTATTACTATTGAATCAAGTAAACATTTAAATAAGAATATTTTTTCAGGAGCTCTCTTCTGGTTTCTGGATTTCTAGTCAAGTTTGATTTTCAAAAATTTAAATGCAATGTCAATCATTTCTTCTGTCTTTTTAATTTCTGTTCTTTTATTGTTCTTGCTCCTTAATAATGTTTTTCTTTTTCTTATATTCTTTCACACAAGCAACCCTTTGTGTCTTAGTGGCTTTATTGCCTTACTTGGGATGAAATGATTAAAATAAATCTTTTTAATCCTTTCCAACTTCTTTTCAAATCAACTGAATTTCTTCTTCACCAAATCTTTGATTTTTTTTTTTCGGCACAACATTTTGGTAGATTTATTCTATGGCCTTCTTCAGCTGTACTGTCCACATGGAAAGAGAAGATTTCTTTTTATTGCTATGTAAAGGAAAAATAATAAAAAAAAACAGTAGTAGATAGAAACTTTTAGATTTCCCCACTGGTAATGCTTATAATATCAGTTTTAGTTTTTGTTTCAATTGTGTAGGCAACTTGATCTAAGTTTACCCTTGTAGATGTAACTTAACTTGCTTAACTTCAGTAGCCTCTGCTCATGTTACTGTGTAATCATAGAAATTATAATTAGTATTTAATTTCAGAGATGAGTAATTGTCACTATACTTATATTATTTCCAACAATAGTGCAAAATAATATGAGTACAATTAACAATTACTTGTGTCAGAAATTAAATACTAAATTATGAAAAGTGGTAAGAATCTGCCATTATAACCAAATGGCAAAAAAAACATCTGACATTGAATACAAAGCCTCCAAAAACACACCACTAATGTCCTTTGGGTCAGTGGCATATTGGATATAGAAATTGATTATATATGTGTTACTCTCATCTAGTGGCCATGAGTTCAATCCCTGGATTAGGTAGTGATGCATCGGTTCAGCAGGAATGAACAATACCTGACATTACAGGGACAAAAACAACGCAATAATCAACAATAATCATATTAGTCGAACAATAGATAACTGAGACTGTCAAGAGAGTACTTAGTCAAAAGATTGTCTATAATAACATCTATATCAAACAAGATGAAAACAAAAGTTTGAAATAATACAAGTATACATTATAATTATTTTAAAATGCTAATTATTACTCATCTTAATAATTATTTGATATTATCATTGATATGCTACTGTGGCTGACAGAGAATTAAGTTAATAGATTCACACACCTCCCCAAGTCTTTTGAACAGGAGTAGAGGTTTATCCCTCATTTCCTGTTTAGGATGGGGTTTCTGGTTCCTTCTAAAGTCATCTCATTCTCTTTCACTCCCAGTATCCCCTTGTATTTTAGTGGCATTATCACCTTGCTTAGAGTGAATTAATTAAAAGAAAAAAAAATAAGATGTAAATTTCTCATGGACATTCTTTTTGTTTATATACTAATTAAAAATTACTTGAAAACTGGATGCCAACTGGACTGGAAATTGTCTTCTTCAAGTTAGAGCATTTTAACAGTGTTGCTCAAGTAGAAATCTTGCTATGATGTGTCATTTTTGCTGTATTACAGTAACGAATACAAATACCAGATTATTATAATATAAATAAATATACAGTGATGATAATATTAAAAAAAATCATTGTTTCAAACTTTTATAGGTTTTTGGTGCCCTAATCTCATGCCCTCTAAAAGTAAGTGACCACTTCTATGGGACTGGTGAATCATTCCTGTACACTTTTTACCCTACATTCCGGGTAAGTTTGTTTTTCAGTTGTTTTTTGTTTTATTTTTAACTTTGAAACATTGAAGTCTTGAATGACATTCAATATTTTTGAGATACATTTCACTATGCATTCATGGCACTACAAAATCACAAAGAACTTTACCAAATAACAGAAACTACTTGAAGATTTTCAACCAAGGCAACAACTAAAATGGACAGCGGATGTAACTCAAAAAGAAAATAATGCCATAATCAAGATATTAACTTTCCACATTATTTGTACAATAGTTTAGAAAGGAAGCCCCCCCCCCATCAATACTGGAAAGAGGAAAAACTGAACTTGAGAAACCTATTTTCCTGAAAAACTGTTTTGAGAGAAAAATTTTATAAATTTCATCCAATTGAATGCTGAATAATTCCTTATAAGGAAGCAACTAATTTCACTATTACCATTTAAAAATAAATGATTCTTTTACTAATTATGCACCAAAAACCAGTCAGTAGGAATCCTCCAACTTTAGCTGTATGGCTTTTATATTATGTATATAGTTTTCATACCATCCATCTCCCTTTTATTTGTCCTTGTGCCAAACTAAGCAAATCTTAATAAATATATATGAATTTAGATCTTTTTCAATATATTCAATATATATTTGCCAGTTCCTCTTACCTAAACTTACTCCACTGTTCTTTTTACATAATAACAATTTTTAAGTTAAAACTATACCACTTATATATAAATAGGAGCAAGTAAGAAAAACATATTTTTTATATTTTATTTGGTTGGAAAGAATGTTCTCATGGCTTCTGAAATTTAATATTCTACAAACTGCATGAGCCTTCCTTTCAGCCAGATATTTAGCTTCATTAGAAATTTTTGCTCATGCGGAATTGTTTTGATTTTTAAATTCTGTTATTGGTTGGGTAGATGTCACATGTTCATTTTATGGCATTAGTATATGTGAATAAAAACAAAAGGAAAACGTTTCTTTATCAATGCATTTTGTCAACTGAGGGACTTTCTCAACGTAAATGTATGGATTTTATTTTGCTGCCTGTATTTATAGACAGAAGTAAAAATGTTAAATCTTTAAAACTTTTTAAATTTAATTTTAAAAAATTAAATTTTTTTTTTTTAAATGTTCTGTGTTTATTTCATGACATCTGTGTTGGTTTAATTTTTGAAATGGTAGAGTATTTTAAGTGTATTAAAATTTGGGTAGATTGGTGTGCATGTAATTTTTATTTTTTTTTTTGCATAAGATAATGAATTTTACAAGTGAATGTGATTGTAAATTACTGGTGAGTGAACAATTTATTTAGATTTAAAAGCAAAATAGAACCTCCATTTTTTTTTTTTTTTAAAGGCAAAGGGAATAAGGTTTACTCTGGTCAACCAATCAAATATGACCTACATTAAATTTAAACTAAGCAAAGAAGCAAAAATTGTGTGTGTGTATATATATATATATATATATATAATGTGTGCCTGCATGTCTGAAAAGAAATTATATTTTCTCTTCTATCTCTGAATCCAGACAAGATTAATCTCACTTGTAAAGTTTTTATTTAACAGCCCACAACATTCCCCCCCGCCCCCAAGTTGTTCAAACTTGGTTCTAATTTCTTAGGTACATTTCTATTATCATATAGGCCACTGACATTGTGATTTGCACTTTCAAAGCATCTCTAGATTGGTTAAGCATACACTGGGTGAACAATAAAAATGAAAGAATATGAAAGGAAGTCTAAATGCTCGGCAGATACAAAGTAAAAAACTGCCTCTTCCATGATAGGCAGAGAGCAAATATAAGTGACCAACAAAGAACCAGAACGTACCAGTTTTTTTTTTTTTTTTTTTTTTTTTTAAGTATATATTACATTCACAAAGAAATATTTTATTTTTGGCTTTTTGTGAATTTAATATAAAAAAAAAATCATCCAGAAAATAAAAACCTGGAGATTTCTTGTTCAAAATTCCTTGATGAATTTTCAATTCTAAAAAAAAATTATGTATTATTTATAAAAATCTCTTATGTTTTTACAGCTTTTCCGATGGACGGGTGAAAACAATTTCTTTGTAAAAGGCAATCAAGAGAGCTTAGCAATTGGTGCTGGCAAGTAAGTAGCCATTTTATTTTACTTTTTTAAATGATAATATTATTTTCTGCATTAAATGTGTAAGTAAAGAATAATAAATAAGTAAATAAAAATAACTGTAAGTAAATATTAATAAAATTTATAAAAAAATAATTGTAAATAATAAAATAAAGAAAATAATTGTAAGTTAATAATATTAAAATAAATAATTGTAAATAAAGAATAACAGCTATGCATGTATTACAATAGTTATCAGCAGGGAAAGTGGAATTTGTAAAATAAAGCACAAAAGACGAATTAATGTAGAAGACATTAAAAATACAAGGCTATCTTAAAAAGCAATCACTACTGAGATATTATACAGAGCAAATAGATGAATTTTTAATTCGTTAAACATTTAGATATGGTTTGAAGAAAGTTGGGCACTCATTTATCAAACTGGTTTGCTCATAAAAAAAAATAGGGAAAAATATTTTTAAAGAATTTTTATTGATAAGTATTCACTTACATCAAACCACATTTTTCAGGATCAAAAAAATATTGATTTTTTTTTTTTTTTTTATAAATCATTTTAGAAACTGGGAGGATGTTTGCAGTATATATACAGTGTCAAATTGATTCCTGATTTATTAAAGAGTTATATGTACTTTATTTTATTTTCAAACATCAAGTTTTAAACTGTTCTTATATAATTCATAACTGCATGTAAATTACAAGCTGGGGAAAAAGTATATCAGTTGTACACATCAATGACAAGCAAAATTTCAAACTTGACATTTATAAATAAAAACAAAGAAAAAAACAAAAATTCAGAAACCAATTTGACACTTTATTTATATTATGAATAGGACTACCCTTCTAAAATACTAAAAAAAAATTTTTTTTTTTATTTTTTTTTTTTTTTTCACTTCTGACAAATGTGTCTTGAAGAAGGTCTAATGAATGTTAATCTACAAAAATTATCACCTGCTGAAAATGTTTTACCTATTTTTTACTAGTGGGCTAGTCAATTTATGTAGTGTCAAAAGCTGTAGCAACAAATTGTGACTAAGAAGTTGAGAGGTGCAAGTGAACTAAGAGTTAAGTTTGAAAAATGGAATCAACTAGTAGAGTTCAAATTCTAGCCAGGGCAGTTTGAATTCCTTTCGAGTTAATAACCTTGTGAAAGGCATTAATCTATTTCTTCACACATCCTCTAAACTATGGGTTAAATAGCAAAGTAGACTGAACTCTCTAATTTAAATTTAAAACTGTGCTGAAGGTAATTGGTAACGATGCTATTTTTCCCAAGAACAGTTATGGCATTGTGTTAAATCTTATGAATCTATAACCTTACTATAATAACTACTATTAATGTGGTTTGACCAAAGAGGATTATGGTTAATGTGATCAAAGGACATATGCCTAATGTATTCAGTCACATGATATTAAATAAAAACATGACATGTTATTGTTTTCATTCATAATATTGGTGGGGAGTATGCTTCTCTTGTAGTTGCTTGTCAGTGAAGTAGTTGCTGATAAGATGTTCTTATTGAATTGTGTCTGTCCCTCAGATTGAGGGCCAGACATGAATTAGTGATAGTATTGGCATGGCAAGTGCTTTATTGATGGGGAAACAGCAATGGAACACCCTCCTTTATTTAGTTTTTTTTTTTTTTTTTTGACAGATAACCTTTTCCTTCTCGCCCCCCCCAGTTGTCTACATAGTGATAGTTGTTTCAATTTAGCTAGCCATTAAACTTAAGCTTTGTTAAACTAACTTGTGGAGAAATAATTGTTTCGTTTGTGCTAGCTGTTGGTTTGTGGATAAATGATTGTTTCAGTTAAAACAATCACTGGCTTGCATATGAATAATTATTTCATATGAATCAGCCGTTTGTTCATGGGCAGAATGGTTGTTACATTCAAATTGGGCATTATCTGGTAGATAAATAATAGCTTCATTTAATGTAGCCATTAAGATTTTTTTTTTAAATTATTATATTTTGTGTGTGTGTAATGTAAGTACTGACAAGGTTTACCAAGAAAAATAGAATAAACAAATTCCCTTTCTTGAATCTGGGAGAGAGAAGAAAAAAAAAGGCTACCACAGCCAGTGATTTATCATCCTGGTAATGAAATTGGCACCAAACTCTGCCTAGAAAACTCATATAATGATAGTAGTTGAGCAGAACTCAAACACCATTGGCTAAGAGGTTACATGACCAAAATGTATAAAACTATGTAACCACCGAACAGTGAAAATTTACCAATATCAAAATGGAGACAGTTTGTAAAAGCCTGTTACTGGGGGGAGAATCAGGGACTAATCAGCTTTGATTGGGTCACTTGGTATAGAGAATACGATGTTAAGAGACCCAAAATTCTCAAAGAACTCAGGAATATTACATTGCTGACAACTCTCTCCTGTTCATCAAAAAGATGTATTTTGCAAAATTACTAATCACCTGATAAAGTACATATAGATGAATTATGTGATTAGTCTACATAAATGTAATTAGGTCGATTTAGAGAATGCATATATAAATACAAAGAGTTGGGTTCTTCTTTACCCATCAAGTGTTCCGTTGATGTGTCTCTGAAACCTATAATGGGTAATAAGGGGGTAAGATGATTTGAAATAGGAAAACCTTGTCCCTTGTTGAGCCCAAATTTTTTGGAATAAGGAAACCTCATCACTTGCTCAAATTCCCTTTTCCTCTTCATTCTACTTTCAAATAAAGTTCTGGCTGTTAAATATTAATCAGCTAGTTGATTTTTTTTTTTTCTACTCTTGTCATTATGACAAAAATCATTAGTAACTGAACAACCTATGTTTACATTTTGTTCTTGAGTATTAAACATATTACATTGCTCCTTCTATGTGCCGTGTTCCTTCAAGACATGAACGATCATGGCTCTCCACAACTTCCTATCCTTTGTAACTCTTAGAAATGTTTGACTTTTCACTATCTCTCCCACTCCCTGTGCTTCCATCCATTTGCACAAGCTCAGATGAGTGACTCAGTGTTTCCTTCTCGCCTTCATTATGTCCTGTGAATGTCAAATTTTGTAAACCTTCTTTCCCCATTGTATATTGTAATTTCAACTCTCTTTTTCTGATTCTAAGTATAAGTGGCATTTCCATTTTCCTTAAAACTTCCTTATTGTTTGCATGCAATGTCCATGATATTCTCAGCATTTTTCTGTAGAACTAAATCGCTGTTGCCTCAAGTCACTTCTTCATCTATGGGGAAATTGTTCAACATTCATTTCCATATAGGAGGACTGATAATACATAGCAGTTCAGCAATTTTTTTCTAATGAAATTTTCTTGTTAATACTTTGTTTTGCTTTTGAAAGGCATCTTTCACTATTCCAATGCAATTTTGGATTTCAATGACACATTTTTTAAAGTAAAAGGAGGAAAATTATTTTTTGTCTAAATTTGAATAAACTTATGTTTGTTTTTAATTTCAGGGGTTTTTTTGGTCTCTGGTTCGATGGTGACTTGTATCATGGCCGCAGCCATCCTTGCGATACCTTTGGAAATGACGTCCTGTCAGAAGAAGAAGATTTTGTGGTGCAAGCATTTGAGGCCTGGGGATTTGTATAAGTAAGTAAACAATCTCATATTTGACCATTATTGTTCTGATTTCAACTAAAATCTTTTAAATGAAGTTCAATATTAATATTGAATTAATCACTTATAATGGGATTATATTCAATTAGCTTTTTTTTTTTATAATTATTCTAATATTCTTCGATTAATTTTTTCTCTTCTACATGTATTTGGTTGCTTCATTTTACAGCCGTCTTCAATAGGAGGTTTTGTGTCCACTACTTATTGTATATAATCTAGTAAAGTGCAAGTATTTTTAAGCATAAAATAGGGGATCATAATATACAATTTAATTTACAATTTAGGTAATTTCTTTTTCTAGTGGGGTTAAAATTCATGCAAAAAATTCAGGAGTTGAAGTTAGCTTGTGAAAAAAAAGGGGGGGGGATAATTTTGGAAATAATTTTTTTATACTAGAATCCTCAAAGTACAACATTTGTCAGAATCAAAAAATAATGAATTTTCCTTTTTTTCTTATCATTTTAAAAGGATCTTGTACACAATATAAATACTGTGTAAAATCTGTCCTTGACTTTTTAAGGTTATCCAAACTTATTTTTTCTGTGTACAAAAACTGACATCATTTTCAAAAAGTTCTCATTTAAATAAAGAACAAATGGGCATATACATTAAAGAACAAAAATTTTCCATAAATTAATAAAAGTATATATATCCATTTGTGCATGTGTTTCAGAAAAAATCACTTTCTCAACACCCCCCCCCCAACCCCAATAAAAATGTTTGGAAAAGAAATTTAAAAAAGGTTAAAGGTGTCAAAAAGAAATTAAAGTTCAAAAACTTTGAAAAAATATGAAGTTATCAAGTACAGTTTCAAACTCATCCGATAACTTTGTAAAACGTCAGCATTCAATTTTATTCTATTATGAACAGAGTACACCCCACCTTCTAAATCGCTAAATAAGAAATCAATATTTTTTTTTTATTCTGACAAATGTCATGCCATGTCTGGAATGCTAATTTACAAAAATTATTTCTATAAATAATTTTTCCTGATTTTTATGAGTGGACCAGTATTGCCCTTTTGTCTTGTGTCAAGTCTGTTGTTCATTTGTTCATTTCATGGTGAACAAGACTGTTGTTCATTTGTCCATTTCATGGTGAACAATACTAATGAATTAGGTATAAAAGGCTTGAAACAACAATAATCATTACAGACACTTTCTACAAAAAAGGAACTGTAAGAAATTTAGAAAAAGTGAATAAAAAATCAAAAAAAATTTTCCTTAGCTGCCACATTTAATGAAATGTGTATAAGAGAAAGGTTGCTGCCCATATATGAGATAACGATATATAAATTGTTATATATCAAGAACAATATTGGGGGGGAAAAATTTATGAAAAACTGGGAAAATGTGTTTGTGTGATGCATTTCATATTTTAAGGCTTCATTGGACTAAATTTGTTACATTGGTGTGACTATACATGCACACAAACGAGGGATGCTGTGAATTTTCAACATAAAATTTGTTGCTACTGCATCTAAAATAAAAACAAAAAAGATTTAGTCACTACTAAACAAAACAACTAAAACTTGAAGGAGAAATTTACTCAATCACCTGTAATAATTATCACAAAAAATACATAGAAGAAACCTCAATGAATCTAATAAAAGATTATATAAACACAAAAGGGACATTTTACAAAACAATACATCAAATGCGTTAGTTGCCCACCATCATGAGACTGACTACAATTTTGCCATAAAAAATATTACTGTGATCAAAGGAGAAAACAATTCACAATGATGAAAATGTTTAGAGAGTGCTTTTATTTCAGGGTCATCCACAGTAAATTTGTGCCCTTCCTGGCAGATTTTCTATTATCATAGTGTGGCATATCTAATAAGAAAAGTGATAGAAACAAAAAGAATCTAAATGAAATTGGCTAGATTATATAAAAAAAATTAAAATTTAAAATTCCCAGCATCCCTCATTTATGCACATGTGTAGCCACACCAACATAACAAATTTAGACTAATGAAGGACAAAACGCATCATGCAAAAACTTTTCCTGACTTTGTCATACATTTTTTCCCCATATATATATATATATATATAGTATAAACTGTAAAACATTCCACTTAAACACAGGGTAACAATTTCTTTAATACAAGGCTTACTATCCAAGCACGCACGCGCATATATAGTAATTTTAATTTATTTGTAACAAACAGTTATTTCTGATGAAAGATTGAGGACAATTTGAAATATCAAATATATATATAAATAAATAAATACTTTCATAAAATAAAACATTATTATTTTTTAATTTGCAACTTTTTTTCTCTCTCTCTCTCTCTCTCTATATATATATATATATATATATATATATATACACACCTCAATGCTAACTTTTATATTTGTATACTATGCTCTATCCCTGATATTGAGCACTTTAACCCATAAGTATAGCATACCTTAAAACTATACTTTTTATCATATGAATGAAAATATATACACACACACACAGGCATCTGTAACTCTTTTCACAAGGTAGACACATACTCCTCTCTGATCATAGGTAGAAGTGCTAGTGAACAATACCTTTTATACTAAGTTAGGCTGCATATATACTACAATCTGATCCTAGACATAGTGCACAGATGTACTAGTCCAAAGTAGAAATGTCAAGCCATACAGAAAAAAAATCATCTTTTTTATTAGTACTAGCTGCTGTTTTTTTCCCCCTCACAGTTTATTGTCTATGTGAGGGATGCTCCAAAAGTAATACATCTAATTTATTTCCATGGGAACTTGCAACAAAATAATATTTGTAATCACTACCACAAGCTATACATTTTTTATGTCCTCTTCATTTCTGTGCAAGATCTTTCAGAATGTAGCTTGTCATACACATCACTGTCACCATTAATGAAACACATTGCTCACCACCTTTCTTCAAATCCACTGTTTGGTCGCCATAAATGTTCAGTAAGCATCGATGAATGTCAGTAGTTGAAATTCTTTCCACATGGGCGAATTCAGTTATATGCATTTTAATGTCAGACTCCATTTTACCAGACTAAAACACAGAGAAAAAACGTTTGGGCTTATTGAGAAGATTTGGCCTCTTGTGGATCAACACCATAGAAGGCATTATTTTTGGAGCATTCCTCATATCTAAATAAAAAAAAAATTGTATGTACATGTTTGGAAATATAGACATAAAATCTTATTGATTTTTTTTTTCCTCTTTTCCAGAATACATCTACAATTAATTTTGGACTGACTGAGCTTTTAAGCCACCGACTCTACGTTGTCATATTTGAGTCACTGGTATTGTGCATGCCCCGTCTGCGTAGGGTCGGTGGTGTGTTAGAACAAGCCAGCAACGGACTATATACTACTTGTGCCATTGAACGGTACTTGCAGCGGTAGTTCTGGGAGCAGGCAGGCGGGCTCGATAGCTGGCTGGCTGGCTGGCTAACATGAAGGCAGCAATATTAGGTTGGACATTAGTGGATGGTGGCCAGCAGCATGCCACAACAGGAGTGTATTAAACCATTTCAGCTTTCTTACTCTGTGGCATTTTGATCCCACTGTCTTGCCTGCTACTGTGATAGCTAATTGTTCCTCTAAGTGCAGAGCTGCACTAGCCGACATCTTGTTTCCTTTAAAAAAAAAAAAAATTATAAAAAAAAAACTTTAAAAAAAAAAAATCTTTAAAAAAATTTTAAATAATTTTGAAAAAAAAAAAAAAAAAAAAATGATGAGAATCTGAAAAAAAAAACTTACCCCTCCCTCATCTTGATTTCCTATCCCCACCTCTTAAACACTCTACTCCCTTTTCTTCTTTCCTTTTTATCCCTTTTCCCCTACCCACCCATCCATTCTGCTGGACGGTGCAGATATGTTGTCATGGTTACCCCGTTTAAAAAAAGAAAAAAAAAAGAAAGAAGAGTGATGATGATTTGATGGTATTGTTGTTATTGACAATAATGGAGATGATGATGATGATTGAGGTTATTTTAATGTATGTTAAGAATTTCTTTTATTGTACAGACCAGGAACAAAAGTATGTACAACCAAAAATAAATAAATAAATAAAAACAAAAGTGTTTGGTAGGTGGTTTTCTGAGAATTAAAAAAAAAAAACATGATAGTTCTTCTCTCTTCTCAATTGCCATCTGCAAGATGGTTAAAAAATAAAGAAAAAATTGGTTTTAATTTTAAAAAATAGGAGTTAATTTAAAAAAGAAAAGATGAGTAGAAAAGAACTTTAAAAACAACAAGAAGCTGTTTTTAACATCTCCACTGACTGCATTCATTTTATCTGCCGCCGTGCCCTTGCCCTCGCCCCAGCATGTGCGATGTGAACGTTGTGGATGTCAGATATATATATATATATATATATATATATATATATATATATATATACACACACACACACACTAATGATAGCATTTGCACACAAGTCAGAAAGGCAAAAATAAAAATCTAATGCATCTAATGTCTTTTTTTTTAATTTTTAATCTGTTCTTTTTTATCAAATTTCTTCTGCCTATTTTTTTTTTTTAATACCTCATTATTGTTTTATGTTAAACTCTTTTTTTGTTTCCATATTTTAAAAATTCTGCCCTTAATACTGTCTGCATTTAATCTCTGATTTTCCTTACACAAACCAGCAATATATATACAGTAATTTGTTTTTTGAGGATCAGTATCCTAGGCAGCACCTGCCCATTGTATTAAAAGGGGTAGGGTCAGGGGCACGGGGACACCCTGACACCTGTGGCAAAACTGTCGGAATTGGGCAATATCCGGAAACATCCAGCATGTAAAAATATGTGGGTTCCCACTTAAAAAAAAAAAAAAAAAAAAAATTTGTTTTTAGCTTGTGAAAGAGACAAATAGATACCCTTTTTTTCTTTTCTTTTTGTTTTGTTTTCAGATGAAGATTTTAATATGGAAAGGTGTGAATTTTTTTTTTTTTTTTTTTTTTTTTCAGTTAATTTCACAAGAGATTGGAGCAAGACAAGTCTTCAACCACTCTCCAGTCTTCCACTCTCATTATCTCTATTTCATTCTCTCTATATGTCTCTCTCCCCCTCTCTCTTCTCTCTCTCTCTCTCTCTCTCTATATATATATATATATATATATATATATATATATATATTTCTCTCCCTCTCAGTCTGTCTTGAATGTGTCCAGACATTTTGAATATTTCAAGAACCTGTTGTGCAGCCTCACTGTAACAAGCAAACAGAGGGGACTTTACTGCGCATGCATGATCACTCTCCCATGGGTTACTCAGTTTCCAGTTAAATGCCACTTGTGTACCACATAACTGTTACATTTGCAATAACCAAACAAGTAGATTCTTCATCCCTCATGCTGGATTATTCATCAAAACATCACATCATCCACATCTCTCGGCCTCTTTACAGTAGAGATTTAGCTAAATCCACCTATAAACCTCTTTCTTTTTAAAAAGCAGTTCATAATACAAAGCAACAAGGTAATGTTATCAATTTTATTATGATTACTCACATTATAGAATATTACTTAGATCAAACTCAATAATAAATGGAAAGTTTTTCAGAATTTGGCAAATAATTTGCTTCTTTACATTACTTTTTGAAAATTTATTCATAGCTGTCATTCTAGTACATTTAAATTCATGAAGTCAAAGTATCAAGAAGGAAAGCTCGTTAGAACAATTACCATGAAAATATTTAGAGAAGAGGCAAAAAGAAACTATATTACAATGGTGGGAAAGTGACTGAAGACGAGATGCTAGGTCAAGACTTATAACATTGATGATTCTTTGTTTTTTTTGTTTTTTTCTTCATTCGACTCTACTATAAGAACTTAAATGTTGGGATGCTACTAATTTGGATATTCAATTAAGGAACAAAACTGACTGTTATGTTCATTAAGTGATTCTTCATGACTCTTGATTTTTTTTCTTCTTCTACATGACATGTCCCTTCAGAACATTGATGATCAAGTGCTCTCCATAATTTCATGTCCTTTGTAGCTCTTAATGATTTTTGTCTTTCTTGTCATCTCTTCCATACCCTGCTCTACTATCTATTCACTCACACTCACCAAGTAGGTTGTGTGTTGCTTATATCCATCTCTCTTACTTTCAGTCTGCCCTGTGAGTATCAAATTTTCCAAGCCTTATTTCCTCATTATGTGCCCCAGAAACCTCAACTGTCTCTTCATGATGTTAAGTATAAGTGTTCTTTTCTTTAGAACTTTGTTGTTGCTCACATTTTCGGTCTATAGTATGTCTCTTCTTCACCTGTGAGGAGATTGTCCATATAGGAGGACTGATAACAGTTCTGTACTCTTTTCTTTGTTTCTAACAAAATTTTTCTTTTTAATGCTTTGTTCAGCTTTTGGAAAGCATCTTTCGTTATTCAAAGGTGCCTTCGGATTTCTGTGTCACATTTCCCAGCTTCTATTAATACTCTTCCCAGATATATAACGTTGCACATTTTTGATTTCGGTATCTCCAATCTGTAATTTGCATGTTGGTTTGTTCCCTTTGCTAACAACCATGCATTCAGTCTTTTTGCAATTGATGTTTTGTCCTTTCTTCTCTCTTTTCTTCACTACATTCTGTGTCATCTGCATGTCTTGTGTGTCGGCCAATAATGAATCCCAGTAGAACTTTTAATTCTCTCAGAATGATCTCACTGTATAGGTTGAAAAGGTCTGGTCTTAAACCCCATTTTTAGATATTTATTGAACTCATTTCCTATCCATATGCAGGTGGATTGCTGCCAGCAGAGAATGTGATTTCCTTCCAGCATATTTCAAGGTTACCTACCAGTGACATACTTTATCAAACACTTTTGTATAGTCTATAAAACATGTGACACCCACCGGAGGTTGCACTCGCAGTCCAGCACCAATATGTGATGTCCACTGGTTGCGACGTCAATATGACACTGCGCCGTTGGCCCGTGGTCAACTCCCAGTTGCAGCACGAAGCTGTAAGGTTTCTTCTACCAGCGTTTTGGGGTTGGCTCTTTGTCACTGCCACCAGCCTGTGTCCTGGTCGTTCCCGGTTCGATACCAGCGTTGTCGTTCTCAACTCACCTCCAACGTCTGGTCACCGAAGTAACTGCTTTGATCTCAAGTCTAACCTACCCATGTTGTTACTTTGATCTTGGGTAGATGAAATCAATCAGGTGTTGGGCCGTAATGCAAGCTGAATCCGGGGTAAAGGGGATACCACACAAGCATAAGTAAAAAAAAAAAAATAATAATAATAAAACTCAAGAGGTTCAAATATGTTGAGAAATAACAATTATCTTTATCCGTCTGTTAAATACAGGAGTGTTTCTCTCCCAGCCCGTTTCTATGGATTCGTGACATTTTTTGCATTTCTTAAGCGAGTTATGGTATCTTAAGTTGTTCGTCAATAAACACTTGCCTTTGGTAGGAAGACTAAGTTGAGTGGATGTAGAAATCCTTCGGTCAGCTTCTGCGAGGCAACACTCTTCAACTTCTCGAACTAACTCCAAACTCGTACTGTCTGGAACTCACTGCAAACCCGAACTGACTGCCTTGAGACATTCGTTTATATGGACACCGACTAAAATCCGGTGTGGGGGCCTGACATGGTTTGGGTTCCTTGACAATTCTCTATTCCCAAGAAGAATTCTCTTTGTTCTTAGACCAAGAAAATTAATCACTTTCCATTTTGAGTGTTTCTCCCTCGTCCGTGAGGGAAGGTCAGAGGAGAGTTATCCTCCTGGACTCTTCCTCTCTCACATTGGTATCTCATACCAATCCCATCAGTGGGTGTTAACAACTTCTCCATCATTCTCATACATTCACCTCCGCCTATCACCCATGCTACCACTTGACCAATGATCTGTTGGCAGTGTGGGTGTGGCTAAACTTAAAATTATTCCAGAATTTTGTTTACAAATCCCAGATTGCCAATTAATTCTTATCACATCCCAACAGTGTCCGGACTTCTACCAACTCATTAATCATCGTCAAAATCCAACACCTGGCTCCTCCACTAGTCAACTTTTAACTGGGTGGTCGTGTTTACCTGATAATTAAATTCTTTATTTTTCTCATGCCTTAAAATTTTCTTATCACCAGATGCTCATTTTCGAGACGCTATGTCTGATGTCAACAGTTTGAATAAGCAATAATAATGATTCCCTTTTCGATTTTCCTTCTCATGCCAAGATTCGTGCATATACTAGATGGCTTTCTTCGCTGGAACCAGAAATTAAAGTTAAATGATATCTCTG